GGGGGGGGGGGGGGGGGGGGGGGGGGGGGGGGGGGGGGGGGGGGGGGGGGAGGGGGGGGAGTGATGCAATGCGGTGTATGGAGTGGAATGCGCATAAGCCGACGGTCTGCCATGCTGGCATGACATTGGACTGGCGATCCGAGCGTCGCATGCACGTCTAGTGGATGCTTGGCAGGCCTTGCGTAACGCGGGCGAGCGGATGGTGGGAGGGGTAAGGCGGGATGCCAAGAAGTGTCAATGAGTGGGGGCCCAGGCTCGTGCATATCGTAGCACCGCACACAGAAACCCGGAGCAACGGAGCGACGGAGCAACGGAGCGGAGAATAAGTTTTTTTGGCTCTATCTGACGTGCGCATCGACAGGCTGCCAAGAGATAAGCCGATAAGACGCAGCGCAGCCTACGGAATGCCAAGACCCCGCGTGCGTCGCCGTCTACCCAACACCGCCCTGCTGCCCCCTCCCCTTCCGCCGGTGAATTTTTTTTTCACAAAACTCTCCCCCTCCCTCTCTCTCCCGGCCACACCCTCATCTCCTTTCACGCTTCGTGGAAAGGACCATGAGAGAGTCAGGGTGATGATGGTAGTCAAAAGCATTGCGGTGGGGAGGTGGTGGGGAGCGGTGGGATGGGGTGGGATTGGGGGGTTGCGGAGAATTTATTGTTATTTGGCGGAGAGATGCGCGCTTTTCTTTTTTTAAACGCGCCTGGTCGCACGCGGCTTGGGGGGGGCGCAGCGCCAAGCGAAGACGCCCAGACCTTTCGTGCTTCTTGGACTGGAATGTGGGCCTCCAACCCCCCCACCCACGTGTCCGCGGCTGCGCATCTCCGTCTTCTCTCATGCCTACTTGGCCTCTCTCTGACCTAATAACCACCGCTCGCCCCCCCCCCCCCCCACTCTGACTCGAGAGCATTGTGAAAGGTTAACACGCCATTTTGTGCTTTTGTGTTCTGCATGATGCTATCGCTTGTGCGGTGGTGGTGCCCTTCCGAGCGCCTGCAGTCGCTTGGCCCTTCCAAATCGGATGCCCTCGAGCACGAAATCGATCGCGATCTCGGCGCGCTTCTTGCGCCGGTCCACCTCGGCACGGTAGCAGAAGGCGAGCGGGAAGCGGAAACTCAGCCAGAGGTAGAGGGTGAAGCATCGGTGGAGCGATTCCACCACCAGCAGCGTGGCGATGTTGATGAGCGGATGCGCGCCACTCCCACCTCCACCCGCACCGCTGTTGTGGCCCAGGTAGGCTACGAGCGGAAGGGGGTCGCTGGGTGGGGCGGTGGAATTGGCCGATTCGGTGGCGCGACGCCGCGCTTCGGTGGCTTGTTCCATCAGCTCGACCAGCTGCTCTTCCACCTCGAGCATGCCCAGTGCGTCGGCGGCTTGGTCGAAGCGCACCAGGCCGCCGCGCGAGAACTGGGCGACCGCCGAGGTGAGAAAGGCCACCACGCGTTCGTCGCGCATATTGGCCGGTGCATTCGAAAACGTCTCGCGCTCCGCCACGGTCAGCATGCCTGCCGAGGCCGACTCGACGAGCGGCGAGATGGCGAGCTGCTGCGAAAAGTCGGCCACAAAGTAGTGTGCCGCCTCGATGCGCGCCAGCAGCGCCACGTCGGCATACAGCTGCGAGAGCGCACGCAGCCCACCGCCCGGCTTGGCACTGGGCAGCATCGCCGAGAGCTGAGACAGCGCCTCGCGCGCAGGCTGGATCGCTGCACGCGTGATCGGACGCAGCGGAGATGCGAGCGCGGCGCGCAGCACCTCGAGCTCGTGCTCGTGGCGCGTGGTCACAATGCCGCCCAGATCCGCAGGCTTGGTTGAGGCGGATTGCGTCCCGTAACGACCCGCACGCCCCGCGATCTGCTTGATCTGACTAGCAGAGAGCGTCACCTCCTCCGAACCGTTCCACTTGGTGAGCGTGTCGAACACAACGCGCTTGATGCGCAGGTTGAGACCCATGCCGATGGCGTCGCTCGCCACCATGACGTCCAGCTTGCCCTCGTTGAACAGCTTCGCCTGTTCCGCCTTGGTCTCGGGCGGCAGCGCACCGTACGCCACCGCACACCGCAGCCCCGTCTTTTGCTCGATCTCGCGCTTGAGCGCAAAGATGCCCGAGCGCGAAAACGCGACGATGCAGTCGCCTCGCTCGATCTGAGCCAGGTCGTTGTGGAGCGACTCGTCAGCGACGCTCAGCGGCGTCAGACGCTCGTACCGGTGGATGGTGAGGTGGTCGCCGCATGCCTCGGCGAGCTTCTCGATGAGCGGGATCACGCTCGCCTCGCCACACAGATGCAGCTCCTTGGCCGGCAGTCCGAGCACGGCGGCGGTCCAGGCAAAGCCGCGCTGCGGGTCGCCGATCATCTGGATCTCGTCGATGACGCCCACGTCGACGCTGCTCGAAGTCGACACCATCTCGACCGTGCAGCTCACCAGGCCGGCGAGCGCGTCGACGGTGCGCTGCTCTTCGCCCGTGACCAGGTTGCAGGCGCGCGGCGCGACGCCGGGCGAGATGGTGCCCGTGTTGAAGCGGTCCCACACCTCGTGCGCGAGCAGCCGAAGCGGACCGGCGAAGACGCCCGTGCGCGCCTTGCTCAGCGCAACGAGCGCGCCGTGCGTCTTGCCCGAGTTGGTCGGGCCGACGTGCAGGTGGATGCTGCGCAGCATCGTGCGTGCGCGCGGATACTGGTGCGCCGGAAGGCGCAGATCCATGCACGAACGCAGCAGCATCAGCTGCGACCGAGCCAGCGAGATCTCGCCTGCGTTGCCGGACGTCTCGACGCGCGCGTACCCGCTGTCCATCCAGTCCAGAAACGCAGACAGGCAGAAGCGGCCCAGACACGCCTCACCCTCGACCGTGAAGGACGAGATGGCGTCCGGCAGATAGCCAAACACCACGGGCCGATGCACCTCCCCGCCGTCGTGCAGCAGTGCGATGTTCATCATCTCGTCCTGCGCCTCCTCGGACCACGTCCTGAACAGCTTCAATGCCAGCTCCTGATCCGCCAGTGGTGTCTTGGACGGTGTATACAGCTGCAGCACTTGACGCGCTGCATCGCCCTTGATCCCGTACACCACGAGCTGCGCCGGAAAATGAGGGTTGCCCGACAACGACTCGATCTTGTCTACGAGCTGCCGCGCAACGTGCTGTGCGGTGGGTGGTTCGGGTATCGAAAAGTCGGCCTCGATGCGTTTCTTCCCCCGGTTGTCGCCGAATCGGGGCTTGCCAGAGCGGTCGCGCCTGTCCTTGCCCTTGCCGCTGCCGAAGCGAGCCGCTCCGCCCGACTTGGAGCCGCCTCGTGGCGGGCCACCCCTCGCGACGAGGGCAGACGTCTGGAAGCCTCGACCGAGCACGGCGATGTGCGTTGGTGGCGGCATGCAGCAGATCGTGCAAGCTTGCCGTGCGAGAGCAGCCGAGCAAGCAGCCGCGCGGGACGTCGACGCGGACCAGCCTGCTAGAGACGATGTCCCTGCTGCTGTTGCTGCGGCGACCGATGCTATTGATCTGTTGAGCATCCTTGCAGGGCGAAGGTATTGTGGTGGCTGAGCAGGAAGGAAGTGTGCTTCTCATCTTTTTCTTCGTCCGAAGCCGATCCGGAGATGCGCGAAAAAGTGGAGAAATGCTCGAAATTTGCCGTCCGCTGGACTTTCTTCTGCATTTTTGGGCTTACATAATCAACCCTCCACCTGGACCCTTTTATGGTGCTTTCGGCGGCTTTTTTTGGCTGGCCAAGATGCTCTCGACCATCATCACACTCAACCACCAGCATCGACGGCACCGACGACACAGGCTCGAGGACAACGGCACGATGAAGGTGGTAGGCCTGCTGAGTGGCGGCAAGGATTCGTGCTACAACCTCGTGCACTGTGTGCAGCAGGGTCACGAGCTTGTGGCGCTAGCAACGCTCGCACCGCCAGGCTCCAAGGATGAGCTCGACTCGTACATGTACCAGACGGTCGGACACGATGCAGTGCACCTCGTTGCTGCTGCCTTGGGTCTGCCGCTCTATCGTCGCGAAATCAAGGGCACGGCTGTCAACCAGCGCTCGGAGTACGGTTCGCGTGCGCCCGCCTCCTCCTCGTCCAGCACCCACGGCGAGGCTCTGGACGACGAGACGGAGGACCTGTACCACCTGCTGCGCGACGTCAAGTCGCACCATCCCGACGTAGAGGCCGTGTCGGTGGGCGCGATCCTGTCGAACTATCAGCGCGTGCGCGTCGAGCATGTGGCGCTGCGGCCCGACCTCGGCCTCACGCCGCTGACGTTTCTGTGGCAGCGCGACCAGGCGCAGCTGTACGCCGAGATGCTCGATGCCGGGCTCGTCGCCGTGCTCATCAAGGTCGCCGGCATCGGTCTGGATGAGCGCGATTTGGGCAAGACGCTCGGTCAGATGCAGCCTAAGCTCACGAGGCTGGCGGCCATGTATGGCGCGCACGTTTGTGGCGAGGGCGGCGAGTACGAGACGCTTGCCGTCGACTCGCCGCTGTTCAAGCAGCGCATCGACCTGCAAGACGTCGAAACCGTCGTGCACTCGGACAGCGGATTTGGAAGCGTCAGCTATCTGCGCCTCAAGAACGCCGTGCTCGTGCCCAAGGATGTTGAGCAGTCCAAGACCCGAGCGACTACACCGCCTCTGCTCGATGCGCTGGGTGAACGCACACTCGCTGCAGCTCGTGCGGCGTACCAAGACGAAGCGTCGACAGAGTCGGGGATCCAGGAGCTTACTGCCAAGACAGCGGGGCTGGAAGTCGATTCTCCGGCATCGGTGTTGCCGGCGCCATCGGCGCGGAGGAGTGGCAGGTACGTGGTGCTGTCCAACATCACGGGCGTTGGGGCAGCAGAGGTTGAGGACCAAGTGCGTGCCGCCTTCGATACGGTGCGCAAGCTGCTGTTGGCTGAGCGATTGGGGATGGAGCATATCGCGCATGTCAATCTGTACGTGCGGTCGCAGACGCTCTTCTCGCGCATCAATGCGGTGTACCGCGAGCAGTTTGGTGTCTCGCCCCCCACGCGCGCATGTGTAGCGCTCCCGCTCCCACCAGGTTGTGAGCTGGTGCTGAGCATCGTTGCGTTCGACACCGCGCCGGAGGGTGGGATGGTGTTCGATCGACGCGCGCTGCATGTGCAGGGGCGTTCGTTCTGGGCACCTGCGAACATCGGACCGTATTCACAGAGCCTTCTGGTGGCGGAAAAGATCTGGGTGGCAGGACAGATCGGACTGGTACCCGCGGATTTATCGCTGCCAGAGGATGCACCCACCCAGGCGGCGTTGAGTATCCAGCATGCGCGCAGGATCGTCAAGGCGACGGTGAATGATTTGGGCGGAAGGAAGGTGCAGCGAGGTTGGGTCGAGGGCGGGATTTGCTGGATCGAGCATGCGGAGGATGTGCATGCTAGGCTCGAGATGGCTAGACACGCCTGGCTCGCTCAATGTGTCGAAGACGAGGAAGAGGAAGGGGAGGGATGGATGGGAAAGACCGAGGGACAGCAAGTGGGGTTGTTGATGGTCACTCTTCCTCGTGCGGCTTTGCCACGAGGAACACTGATCGAGTGGCAACTCACTGCACATACGGGCCGCGTTCCACCACCGATATCAGCGGTGGAGGTTGACGAGGATGATGTGGGATCGGACTGCGATGTGCGTGTTGTACGTACGCGTGCGGTGGTAGCTGGCATGGAGGCTGTCCATACAGTGACCACGTCCAGGGCGGGGCAGAGCTCGTTTGGACTGCTCACCCTACGCATCACCTCTGAAGACCCAGTCGACGACGAGGCTTTTGCACAGTCGATCGACGCACTCACAAGCGCCTACGCAGTCCACCTCTTCCTGCCCCTCCTTCCACGCACCTCCCAAGCCCTCTCCACCCTCCGATCCATCCTACCCTCCATCATACTCGACACTGCACAGCACGTTCCCTGCACATCCCTACACACCCCCGACCCCACACTGCAACACGTCGACGTCGCACTCGCATGGCATGGCATCTAGAAATTCCATTACGTCCTAGATTACTCGGTACCGGGCTGGAGGGTGTCGACGAGTTCCTTAAACTGGCTGACGATTTCGCGTTCCTTCTTGGCCTTTTCCTCGGCCTGGAGCCTAAGCATGGATCGCTTTTCCTCGGCACTGATCACCTGGTTCTCCTTGCGCATGCGCACGGCGTTCATGCGGTGGTGTCGACTGCCGCTCATCACGTAGCCGGCCTTCTCGTACGCCTCGATCTGGTCCGACGACAGCCCGATCTCGCCACGACGCGGGATGCGCTTGCCGTCCTGCACGAACGACGCCATCGCAGACCCCTCGCCGGGTAGCAACGCGCCTCCGTACGCGCGCGGATCAATCGGCTTCCCGTCTGCGCCTGTCGAAGGCAGCGTAGGTCCAACCTCCTCTGAACTCGCTGAGCTGACTGAGCCGCGTCGATCACTAGTCCCGCCGGCGTGAGGAGCAGAGTCCGAGTGGCCAGCAGCCGAGGCTGAGCGCGAGCGGCGGTGTGAGCGGTGACGACGGTCAGAGTCGCGTCGTTTGGAGTGGCGACGGTGCGTGCGCGATGCATCAGACTCGGAGCCAGACTCGGACGCACTCGACGCCCTGGAGCTGCGCTTGGATCGCGCGTGCCGGTCGCTGTCGCGGTCGTCGCGGCACGACCGGGACGAGCGCGAGGAGCGATGTCGATCGCGCTCCGAGTGGTGTCGATGGCTGCGCGACGACGAGTGCCTGTCGCTGCGCTTGCCCTCGCTCCGATGCCTGTCCCTATCCGAGTCGCGATGTCGCCTCGAGGAGCTCTCGTGCTTGCGCTTGCGCTTGCGCTCCTCGCGCTCCTCGTCGCTTTCGAGCGTAGGATGCGGCGGACTGGGCGGCCAGATGGAGACATTCGAGTTCTTGCGCTGCTCGTTGCGCGAGGCGAAGAAGCCGCCGTCACCACCGCCGTTGCTGTGGCTGCCCGCCGAGGCGTATGGATCGCGCGGAAGACGTTTCCACTGCGCTGCACCATACTCGGACGAGCCACTGCGATCGCCACCCTGCCTGTCGTCGCTGTCAGCGTCAAAGTATCGACCGCCACGCGAGCCGCCCCAGCCACCACCGTTGCGGGAGTCGGAGCGGTCGCGGTCGTCGCGCCCTCGTGCACTCCCGCCGTCGGGACGCGGCGGCGGCACCCATCGGTCGGCCTGGGGTCGGGGAGCCCGCCGCTCCGGATGTGTGAACGGCCGCGGTGGCGGAGGTGGCATGCTGGACGTCGAGGGTTCAGCGTCGTAGGAGGGTGACGCACGTCTCTGGCGTACGGGGCTGCGGCTGGATCTGTCTCTCCGGTCGTGCTGAAGTGGGGAGGAAGAACGCGAGCGGGAGCGGGCGCGTGAATTGCGCTGGTACGGGTCATCTCGTGTGTCGTCGCCACGGTCGTCGTTGGCTGGGCGAGGCGCTCGTTTGGATGCGAGCAGACGTGCGCGCAGCTGCTGCTCTCTGTCGAGGCTGTCGTGCGTGTCTGCCGCCGGTGCATCTGCAGAAGAAGATTCGGCAGTACCTGCGCCGAGGCGCTCTGCCAGCGATGGCATGGTGTCGCGCGGCGTTCGTGATGATGATCGTGGGGACGATGAGCAAGTGTCGTCAGGGTTCACCTTGAAGCCCAACTCAGCCGAGCCGACTTGTTCGAAAATGTTCAAGATGTTAGACCTCACAATTGAAGCGCCGACTCGTGCGAGTAGAAGAAAAGGCGGTGGTGAGCTGGAGCTCCGAGGCGGCGCCACGCACAGACGCCCTCTCAATTGCTCGTGCTGCGACCGACGCTTTCCATTGCCCAACCATCTCTTCATCTCGGTCTCGACCCATTGTCGCACCCTCAAGATGGCCATCGTCAAGCATGCAGCAAGGAGAGCGAGTGCGCTCTGCTCGCTCCTCGCGCTCGCAGCGCTCGCGCTCTTCTGCACACTCACCTCGGCGCTTCTGTCGGCCACGGGCAACCGTGTGCTCGTCGTGGTCGAGCCCAGCTCCAAGCCTTTGTACTCGACATTCTTCGAAGGCCTCACCTCGCGCGGATATCAAGTAGGCTTCAAGGCGCCGCGCGATGCCAAGCCGCAGCTCGTAGAGCACGATGTGTTGTCGTTCGACCATCTCGTGCTGCTCTCGCCGGCAGCCAAGTCGCTCGCGGCCGACCTGTCGCCACAGCAGCTGGTCGAGTACCTCAAGAGCGGCGGAAACATGCTCGTCGCTCTCGACTCGAGCACCAGCGAGATGCATCGTGACCTTGCGCGCGAGTTCTCGCTCGAGTTCGACGAGCGCGCAACGGCGCTCGTCGACCACTTCCGCGCAAGTCCGCAGCTGGATGCGGGCAACCACACCACCGTCTTGGTTGGAGGCAAGTCGTCCACGGCCTGTCTGTCTGCGGGTGGACCTGTGCCCAATACGAATGTGTTTGCCGAGGAGACGCTGCTGGCTGCACAGACCAAGCCGCTGCTGTACCGCGGCATCGTGCACCGCGTGGGCGCCAACCCGCTCGCATTCCCGCTGGTCGTGCCGCCCGCGACGAGCTACTCGTCCGAAGCACCTGCGCTCGTCAAGGAGCAGGACGCAGTGGTGGAGTCGACGTCCTACTCCACGCCTGCACCCGTCACGGTGACGACGACGCGCATCATCGACGGCGAGACCGTCAGCTCCGAGGTGGTGTCCACGCCGCGTGCGGTGCCGACGGTGGTCAAGTCCAAGTCCGCCTCGAAGCTCGGCAAGAACGGCTGGGTGGCCAACCGCGCAGGTGTCGAGGCGCTCGAGACCAAGCGCGAGCTGGTGGCCGGTGTGTCGACGGGCGCTGGGTCGATCGTTTCGCTCGTGTCTGGATTCCAGCTGGCGTCCAACAGCGCACGCGCCGTGTTTGTGGGGTCGACCGATCTTCTTTCGGACGCCTTTGCGGGGGGCGAGACGGTGAACCGCGAGGTGGTGCGTGATCTGACAGCGTGGACGTTCCAGGAGCGAGGAGTGCTCAAGGTGGTGGGCACGCACCACCACCGCGTGCGCTCGGACGCCAGCGACGTTCGCGAGGACTACGAAGAGACTGCAGCGGGTAACTCGATGTACCGCATCAAGGACCATGTCTACTACAGCCTCGACTTGGTGCAGCACGTCCCTGACCGCGGTTGGGTTCCGGCAGACAAGACGCTCGACATCCAGGTGGCATTCCGTATGCTGGATCCGTACATCACTGCGCACCTTGCCGCTGAGGATGCGGCCAACTACACGCATCCCGTCGAGGGCGACACGAGCGGTGCATTTACGAGGTTCGCTACGACCTTCCAGGTTCCTGACCGTCACGGCGTGTTTACGCTGCACGTCAACTTCAAGCGTGCCGGACTGTCGTTTGTCGAGACCAAGGATACGGCGCCCGTAAGGCCGTTTAACCACGACGAGTATCCGCGCTTCCTCAGCTCGAGCTGGCCCTACATCACGGGCGCGCTCAGCACCTCGCTCAGCTTTGTCGTCTTCACCGCTCTGTGGTTGACGCTGCGCCAGGAGCCACCGGCGCACAAGAAGACCAAGTGATGCAAGATGCAATTTCTACAATGTGCAGGATGAGTACAGCAGCTCGGGATTTGCATGGCCAAAGTACGCTATTGGCGGTGAGCGTGGGTGTGTGAGCAGGGGAGAGGCGAAGTTGAGCCACCAGAATTTGCGGTCCGTGACGCCGAGGAGGTGGGTGGGTGTGGCAGCCACTGCGTACTGTGGGCTGTCGGTGCTGGGGAGGGCGAAAGCGGTCCATCCTGTATTGGGCTTGGTGGCACCGGGGGAGTCGAGGAGCGGAACGGTGTAGTGCTCGAGGAACTCGATGTCGAATACGCGCACTTGGGCGTGACGTGCTCCACCTGCGATGAGGAGGTGCGCACGCGGCCCACCAAACGCCAAACTGTATACGGCATCGGTAGGATGGTGCTCTTTCAATACGGCGATTGCATCCATCTCTCGTCTCCTTCGGCCGGGCTGGTTGAGGCTGCGTGTGTCGTAGACGCGAACGGAGCCGTCATAGAATCCGGCAAAGAGGAGCCAGGATGGGATGTGCGAGTGCGCAGGCGCGGTGGCAAGCGCAAACACAGACGTGCGCTGCCGCGTGCCGACGTACATCGGTTCGCCCAGCTCCAGCCCTGCGCTGCGTAGGAGCGGATAGATGTACACCGCCTTCTCGCCCGTCATTCCCACTGCCACCCACCGCTCGTGCAGCAGTACCGACCACGCGCGCGCGCCCACACCACCTTCGGCGGGTGCATTGTTAAACGCAGCACTGCGAAAGCTGCGCGGTGTAGAGGAGCGCGACGACTCCGAGTCGGGAGTGTCGGTGGTCGGGGAAGCTGTGCCGTCTTCATCCATCTGCCACGCGATCGACTCCGCACCCAGGTGGACGCGCAGCTGCCCGCGTTTTGATATGGATGCGATCCATGCCTCCTCATCGTGCTCGGGCGAGAAGACGGATACGCCTGCGATCTCGAATCGACCCATGGATGCAAACGTCTTGTGCACCTCGACTGATTTCGACGAGTGCACAGCAAGCACCTGGACGCTGCCGTCCGCGTACCCCACGACCAGCCTGGATGCGGCAGCGTCGACGGGTCGAATGGCGGTGATGTCGTGCCATGGATCCGTCTTGGCCGCCACCCTCCCCTGGGCCGGTGTGAGCATCGTTCCGGGCTGAGAGCGACTATCCAGCGTGAACCTCGCTTCGAGCGCAGGAGGCGAGGTGGGGCCGGGTGTGGGGGCGATGAAGAGGTCGCATCGCACGCCGACGGCTGTCCAAGAGTCGCCGATCGCCAGCGTGGGGATTGCAAAGTCGCCACGTTGCCATCGCGGTCTACCGGCGGGTGGGATCTTGGCTCTCAGCGCTGCGGGCAGGTCGATCGACTGCGCCTCGAGCACGAGCTCGTTCCAGCTGGTGTGCAGTTGTGCGGCGTGGCGGCAGACGAACCATTCGAGTGAGCGTGCGGCCAGACGCGATGAGCGCGTGCGCTTCGCATGCTCGACGTACTCGCGGTGAAACGGCGCCAGGGAAGACAGCGATATGATTGGGTAGAGAGAGAGGAGCAGCACACGCCATGCGTGCTGGTCGATCAGATGCAGCAGACGTCGGCAGACCTGCGAGAGGGCAGCGTAGGAGGCGGCAGGGAGATGGCGCAGGATGAGCAGCCATACGTCGAGCGGGACGTGCAACAGCGCCGAAGCAGCCGGAGCCACTATACCACCACCAGCAGCGTGCAAAGCGGAAGGCTGCCGCCCCATGCTCTCTCGATGCGATGTCGTTATGCCAAAGATGTAGTCGTGTCGAAGGGAGTCTGATTGATGCAGACAAGGAAGAGTGAAACTCAGCCTCCACATATATTTGTGCGGGGTCGGCTGTCATATGCAGGTCGTGTGCATCTCGACTCTCAACCATCATCCTCCGAGCCATGTCGATTCGCTTCCACAAGGGTCCATCGATCATCACACTGTTGTGCGTATTGCTATGCCTACTTGTGCACCCTTCGCATACTGACACCTTGATTCCAGTCATGACGCCTCTTCGCCTGCTTCGAAACAGGTGCTGCAGCTGCTGACCAACTACACTCGACGCACTGCCCAGGCAGCACCGTCGAGTGGGTCGCACGGCGAGTCGTGCGTGGTGGAAGCCAACGGCGGCGGTGTGGGTGCGTCCGAGTATCTGAGGCAGGCAGCTGAGCCGCCGAGCGAATCGGCATTCCAGCTCGAGGTGGTGGATCGAAAGGCCAACCCTCCCACCGCGCACCAGCTCAGGAGCATCATCGACTACCTAGCGTCCAGCGCCGAGAGCCAACAGTCTGAAGGAAAGATTGAGGCAAAGCGAGCAAAGCCGAGGTATACGCCCAGTGGCTTCGACTTGAAAGCACACGAGCAGCGACGCACCGCTTTGGCACAACACCTCGTCGACTCGGACGCCGGCATGCCGCGCATCAAAGACGGCCCCATCGTCGTCAACTGGGACGAGGGTGAGGCGGCTACCTCACTCGACGGTGTGCAGCGTATGCTGGCGCGGCTCCAGCAGCAAAAGTCGGAACGAGAACCGGCTTCGTCGTGCGTGATTGCTTGATCGATTAACACACCAACCGTGGAATGAGCACCCACGCGCGCCAGACATCTGCCTCACCTTGCCCCAGCTTAGCCCCCGTCCGCTTTGTCGCATCATCACGCCTAGTTCTCACTGCCCACCACCAACGCGCCATAGTCAGAGTCGCTCCTTCAGCCGCAATCAATACCCCTATGCACACATTGGGTTACCTTCACACACGGACTCCACTTGTCCGAATCGTGTCTGCTGTGTCTGATGATCTTGATGACTGTTGGCGCAGTGATGTGATGCAACGCTACGACGCTGCTGATCTTGGCTGCTGCTGCGGTCCGCCGTCTGGCACTGATCTCGTTCACCGTACACCTGTGTAACGCCAGCGGGTGGCCACATCGTCCGATTCCGCAAAGTGCAATCAAGTGCATTCGAACGTACAAGGCGCTTTCGGCGAGTGGATCGCACGTCGCGTATGGGCACAGCCCCACCGAACAGAAGCGTTGGTGTACGCATGCAGGAGGCAAGCGATCGAGGCGAGTCCCTTTGCCACCAAGCCCCAACATCACAACGTAAGCATGCAGGCTGTGCAAGGCGCATCAACATGCGTACCTTGCTTGCCAAGTTAGCTCCGACTGTGCGGCCAATCCTTCGCCAACGCTTCCTAGTGTCAGCTCGGCCCACTTGACCATGAGCCCCAAAGCCAGTGCTCACAACCATTGGGTTCCAGGTTGATGATTCGATCGCCACCCGTCAAGCCCCGAACCCGAACCTGAACACAGTTGGCCGCGTACGACGAGCCTAGATCGTCTCGGCCATCATCCCAGTCCACCGAAGGACACAGTTGAACGATCACCGACGCAGTGCAAGTGCAAGTGCCAAGACTGAGCTTGACACCATTTTGTACGCTGCTCTCACGCTTCACGCATCCGTATGACGCCCGTCGCACATCCATCTCGACCACACCACCATCCCCGCCTCAGAACCGCACCAAAATCGTAGTTGCACCGCATCAGTTTGGCATTGTTTGAAGCAGCACGTGCATGATTCACTGGCCATCAAGCAGAAGGCCTTGGTCTCATGGCCAATTGCTTTGCTACTACTTCGGTGGCGTTGGCGACCATCAGGCGACAAGGATTTTCAGCAACAGACGCACTTTGCGTGTGGATGGCCTCCATGGTCTCGGGAAACAGCATTCTTCGACTTGAAGCGGAAACATGATGGTGCACGGCAAGAACAAGCAAGATTCTCGTTCAACGACCAGACTGGTCCGCGTGCAAGTACGAGCTTGATCGGGTGCACGTGCGATGCACGGTCAACGAGCTGCGAAAGTGGGATGGTGCTACCGCTGTTTGGAGTACGCATGCGTCGTTGCACCAACTCTCTTGCGTAGCTTGATTCGTGCGGTCTGAATTGCACCAACTCCAACCTCGTGTCAGCATCTAGCCCGCTCGCTTCAATCACGTCTGTGTGGCCAGCATTTTGATCATCATGCACAGGTCCAGGGACAGCAGGATTCTCGGCCCCAAGTGCGATTAGAAAGTGGTCAGCGGCAAAGAGGTGCTTGCTGATCAGCTCGTTACCCTTTTGTGGCTGCCTCAATGCAACGACGCATGCGTACTCAAAAGAAGGTGATGCCAAGCAGGAGACGCTCGTCGCACGCCACCGACCGCACTATCGCAACACACACCCACCTTCCCGCTCAACTCCCGTCCGTTGCGTGCAAACTTCAACCTGACCACTGGTACGCAAACCGTCGGATGCGAGCATGTCTATCCTCTTTTCAATTCGTACTCCTGCGCCAGACCTTACGCGTGGCCTTCATTTGCAAGCCTCTGCAAGCACCAGATCCAACTTGGTCGCTGCCCTGGATCAACTTTTGTCGTCGGTGCAATTCTAGCGCTTCGGACCGCTTGACCAAGTTTGTATTGCATCACAGTCACGACATTTCTCCTCTCGTGCGGGCAGAATAGAGGGAAACATGGTGAAAAGTTGTGAAAAGTTGTCTTGTGCAAAGAGCGAGAAGGTGATAGCTGTGCATCGACACTGACGAGCCGAATGCGACAAGAAATCGGGGGTATGACGAAAAAAAAGTGGCGAATGCGATGCGGATGGATAGTGTTGGGGCGTCGCGTGCGACGACACGGGCGGAAGGAGTTGATGCGAATGCAATGGATTGATCGGAACGAATGTGTACGATGGTGTGTGTCCATGTACAGGCGCGAGCGAGTGAGCAAAAACCAACTGAGTGAGCGAGGCGTGCATGGTACAGGTAGGAGCCGTCCATCCAGGTACCCGTCCGACCGAGTCGGATCAACCCACCAACAGATAGCATTCCACCATCCCCCTACCCACACAACACACCCGTTCCGCTCAATTTTCCTTCCTCTCCATGCGGTGCAAAAGGTGAACAAGTCGGCGAGGTGTGAGCATGTCTACGTGTGTATAGAGATTGACGAGTGCGAGGAAAAACGGGTATGACAAAAAAAGGTGGCCGAATGCGATGAAAGAAAAAAAAAAGTAACGGCGGCCGGCGTTCTTTGAAAGGCCGCATCAAGCCGCCACGCTGCTGCCGAGGTGGGCGCGGTCAAGAAGCGCCTGGTAGATAAACTTGTATGCCCACAAGTTGCCCTTCATGCGGCGGATGTCGAGGCTGTACAGGCCGGGCAGGTTCTTGATGCGCGTCACCTCGACCGAGAATCGCACCTCCTGCCCGCCGTCCACGGCGGCATCGCCGTACAGCGGCGGCGGCTGGTTCTCGTCGCCCACCACCAGCTGCGACGCCACCGTCGGCGAAGAAGGCAGCGTCGACATCCCGCCCAGCTTGGGACTCGTCGCACCCGCCTGGTACGAGCCGCGACGCAGGAAGCTGCGCAGCGAACCACCACCGGGCGTGCTGGCGCTGGGTGTGAGCGTCTCGCGGTGGCTCATGCGCGACGAACGCTCCACATCCGCCTGCGTCGGAGGGAAGACCGAGCTGCGAATGCTCATGCCAATACCGTGCGTCGCACTGATGAGCGTCTTGGCGCGCTTGCGACGCACACACTCGAGCTTAAAGTCCTCGTCCTTCTCGCGGCGCACCTCGATGCCCATCTCGTACAGCACGCGCTGCACCTCCCTCAGCACCTCGATCGGCGAGCGCGACGTGAGCGCAGACTGATCCACCGCGCCCAGGTGGTAGCGCAGCTGCGTCTCGTTGAACGGCACAACCGCCGCCGATGAGCCACTCGCGCGCGCGCCAGCCTGCTGCGCCCGCTGCTGCTGCTGCTTGGACTGCGGGCGCTCGCGCTCGACGCCAGACACGTTCGACACATTCGAGACAGCCGAGAGCGACGCCTTGGGCGTCGCCTGCTGCTGCACCGTCGAGGCGCTCGACTTAATGCCGTCGCTCTCGCCGTGCGAGGCGTCGGTGAGGTTGGTGGCCTGGGTGAGCTCGGTCGCCTCGCTGTTCTCGCTGTGCGTGCCCGAAGCCGAGCGCGACGAGGGCACCGACGAGGCACCACTCACACCTTCGCTGCCGGTCTGCGCATCGGCGTGACGGCCATGTCCATGAGCACTGGGCGAGGCGTGAGCACCCGTGACGATGACCGAGGGCGTGGAAGGCGCAGCGCCGTTAATTTGTGGCGAGGCGGGCGCCCTTTCGAACGGACCGAGGGGCGGCTGCTCGTTAAACGTGCCACGCGAAAGGCTCTTCTTGCGGAACCAGTCCATGACCTTCTTGGCGGCATTGCTCGAGGGTCCCGTGGTGGAGGTGCTGGCGATGGTGGAGCCGTCGTAGAAGGTCCTGTCCTGCGAATGCTGCGCCGCTTGCTGCGCCTGGTAACGCGAGCTGCCAGTAGGCTGCTGCTTGGACGAGGCCGACGAAGTCGAGTAGCTTCCGGAACCAGCCAGGCTGCCCGACTCCTTCCTCTGCTTTTGCGCAGCTGCGCGCGTGTTGGCGGCAGGCACCGAGTCTTCCTTGGCACGAGTGGAAGGGCGCGAAGCCGAGTTGGACGCAAGGCTCGTCTCGAGCGCACGCGCGCGGTCCGAGGCGGCGGGCGAAGGCTCGTTGGCGCGGCCAACGACGAGGCTCATCGCCTTGCGACGGCTGCTCTTTTCGGCAGCGCTATTCGAGCTGGGTGCGCGGTCCAGGGCAGGTCGAGTGACGCTGTTCCTCTTGCTCTTGTCGGCGGACGCATCGGTGGGAGCCAGCTTGTCTTCGGCGCTTCGCACGGCAGCTGCATTGGCATTGGCGTGGCTGGCGCCGTTGGAGCCGAGGAGGCGACCAAAGAAGAACTTGTCGGTGGACATGCCCTTGCGATGGCGAGTGGCTGCGGCGGCGCCCTTGTCGGCGGTGACGGGTCGGGTGGCCGAAGGCGGGCGCGTCGACGAAGCTGGCGCTTCTGTCGAGGCAGAGGGGAAACCGACCGACTGCGACGAGGGCAGTGGGTTAGAGGAGATGCGCTGGCCCTGAGTCGAAGCGGCAGGCGCAGGACCAGCCACGTTGGTGCCCTCGGCGGTGGAGGCACGGTAGGATGCGCTGGCTGTGCTGGCCACACGTGCCCTGGTGCTCGACGACGACGTGGGCTGTGCACGGCTTGCGCCGGAGGATGCGGGGCCCTGTTCGGCGATGGCTGCAGGCACCGAGATGCGCGAGGCCGAGCTGGCCGAGACGGAGCGCATCATGTCCGGCGCCACGGGGCCGCGAGCCTCGATCTTGGCCTCGATGATCCTTTCGCTCTCGGGCACGAGCGCGGGCTTGGCCGGAATGACCGCCGCCTTGACGGGAACGGGAGCGGGAGCGGGCTGGAGCACCGAAGGAGGTGGCACGGCAGCGGCGGCGAGCTTGTCGGCGGCAGCTTTGGCGCGCTCGGCGTCGGAGGCGCGAGAAGCGGTGCTGCTGGCGCTGACCTTGCGATGCGACTGCGAGGTGTGACGCGAGCCAGGAGGAGAGGCGACGGCGGCGGTGGGAGCAGGAGCGGCATCGTTGCGCGATCGCTCGTCGCCGCCATACTCGAGCTGGATGGTGTGGCGCTGCACCTTTTGGGCGGCGGGTCGGCGCTGTTCGGCGCGGACGGGCGCAGGAGCCGGCGTGACCGACTTGCGCGTAGCAGGAGCATCGTCGTCGAGACGGGTGCGGGGCTCGCCGCGGGCGTTGCCGAGTGCCGTGACGGGGTCCACGAGAGGTGCTGGAGCGGCCGCAGCGACGTTGGCGTGGGTCGTGGCGCGGGGGAGTGGGGCGGCAGCGACGGGTTCCAGAGCGACGTGATGAGCAGCGGCAGCCGCCGGGACGGCAGTGACACGCGGAGCGCTTGTGGCGCTGCCGACGGGTTCGTAGAGACGATCGGGCACGGTTGCGCTGACGGGGAGCGTCTGCCGATGTGCGGTGGCGGCGGAGGAGGAGGCGGGAACGGCGGTGTTGGTGGTGTAGGCGGTACCGACGGAGAGGTGGGAGACGTTCTGACGCACCGACTGGCTGCGCTCGAGTTGCTGGCGACGCTGCTGCTCCTGGAGCTGATGCTGGTACATCATCTGCTGGCGGTACATCTGGCGCTTCTTGGTCTGCTGCTCCATGGCGGCGCGCTCGAGGTCGTCTACGGAGAACTTGAAGAGCTCGCGGTAGTTGCGGAGCCAGGAGTGCTGCATGACCTGCTCGAGGGTGGCGCGGCGGGTGGGGTCGGGGACGAGCATGCGCGAGAGGAGGTCGCGTGGTTGGGCGGTGATGTACTCTGGGAAGGAGAGCGGGGTGGCGAGGATGTACTTGTAGAGGAGGTTGATGTTGTCGCCGTCCGGGTTGGCGGGGTCGTCGTCGAAGGGGAGGTAGCCAGCGAGCATGGCGTAGAGGATGACGCCGCAGGACCACACGTCGACGGCGGAGCCTGCGTAGAGGCCGTCCTGGACGACGAGCTCGGGAGCGGCGTAGCAGGGAGAGCCGCAGCTGGTGGCCATGAGGTCGTTGCGCTTGTCCTCAAAGTTGTTGGCGAAGCCAAAGTCGGTGATGATGACGTTGCGGTTGCGGTCGAGGAGGAGGTTTTCGAGCTTGAGGTCGCGGTGTACGATCTTCTTGTGGTGAAGGTAGGAGACGCCCGAGATGAGCTGCGCGAAGAGGCGGCAGGCGTGGTCCTCCTTGAGGTACTTGTGGGCGAGGATGTGGTCAAAGAGCTCGCCGCCGGAGGCGTATTCGAGGACGATGCCGATGTAGCGGTCGGACTCGATGACCTCGTAGAGACGGACGATGTTGGGGTGGCGTACATCCTTGAGCACCTGGATCTCGCGTTCTACTTTGGACATCTTTGCGGGGTCCTTGTTTGGGTTGTCGTCGAGGTTGAGGGGCGCGTCGGAGGCGACCTTGTCGCGCTTGATGAGCTTGACGGCGACCTCCTCGCCCCACTCCTTGTGGACGCCCAGTTTGACTTTTCCGAACTCGCCTTCGCCGAGGGTCTGGAGGAGGAGGTAGTTTCCAAAGTGGACCTGCTGTCGACGCGGGTGAGCGGCAAAGTAGGAGAGGGCGGCGGGGGAGGTGATGGGGATGCCCGAGTTGAGTGCGTGCGTGGTGGTGGGGTCGATGTGTGCGGGGACGGGTGGGTTGGTGGAGTTGTGGGTGGTGGACATGGTGGGATGTGCGCTTGCGCGTCGCTCGGTGTAGTTGGGATTCATGCTGGCAAAGACGTTGGAGGCGCCACCGGCGGCTGCGGAAGCGGCGGAGCGAGCGGCGGCGGCGGAGGAGGTGTGCTCGGTGGGTGTGGGCATGGCAGAGACGGGACGATGGGAGTGGGATTGGCCGCCTGTGGCGAGCTTGCTGGGAGGGTGGTGCTGGGGAGCGAGGGCGGCAGCCGCGCCGGTCATGCTAGAGTAGGCGGCGGCGGACTGCTGGGGAGGAGGCGCGTACGCGGAACGCGACGAGGTGGAAGCAGAGCGCGTGACGGCTGCAGCGGAACCGGATACCTTGCGAGAGGAAGAGGCGACATCGTCCTGGAGGAATTGCGGGGGCGAAGCGGGAGGCGAGGGGTAGCCTGGCGACCTGGCCGAGTTGAGGTCGCTTGTGGCTGTGGCGGGGTAGGAGCCGGGCGACGCGGGTGGCGAAGGGTGGTGGTTGTGAGACGACATGGCGGCAGCAGCGTCGGCAAGACAGAGCAGACGAATGCGCAAGCAGCTAGGCCTGAGCGAGGAGCTGGATGGAGGGGGCCGCTTGACGGAAAGGAAAGGAGGGCTTGGAGTGAGCTTGATCAGACGGATGTCGACATGAACGAGGTGAGGCTTTGCGTCGCCAAGGATGGTGGTGGTGGTGGTGGAGAGGGCGGAGATGGAGGTGAGTGGCGACGACGACGACGGTGACGGCGACGATGACCCGACGAGGGATGGAAGTTCGGCG